CTCGATTTCGAACTTTCAGCCTCCTCTGCCGCTTGAACATTGATGGGCGGCGGTCGCAAGGGTCGCCGTGCATTCCCGCCCGTACCTCGCACACCCTCAAGCCGCCCGCTGGTGGCGGACTTGTTTGTCGCCGTTGCAGGAGCAGCAGGAGCAGCGGCAGAGGTGGAGCTACTGGAACTGCCTCCGCCTCCGCCAAATGCTGCTATCCGCGCGCGCACCACAGATGAAGATGTTGGTGGCATAGATCGCGCAGGGGTGGAGGTCGAGGAGCTCATCTTGGTGCGAATTAAGGCGGGTGACTGACCACGGGCCTCTCCTGCTCCGCGGCTACGCTCCAGCAACTTAGACTCTGACACGTGAATCGCCTAACAGCAAGACTGTCGAATGGGCTAGGAGCCTTTTCGATACGAGGTCAGAAGTTGCAGGCTGAGGAGACGGGCTTGGATCCTACGTTTCCCGTTAATGTGTCCGCATGGTCCTGAAGATGGCTCATCCAGCTTGCGCGGTGACCGGCTAAGAAGATAGAGGCCTTCGAGAACGGGGCTGAATGAGTGATAGGTCTCGATGGATGACGTTGGTGAAAGACGGGTACCAGGATGTCGAGCCTGTGAGGACACCTTTGGGCGATGCGTGCCCTGCTCCTCTCTCTGTTGGTCACCCTAGGGGCGTCGGCTCGTCGACCAGCGATGCCGTGTGATACTTGGTGGAATTCGATGTGCGCGCGGCGAATTGCCTCGGAGAACACAATGCGCAATCAGGAGAAGTTCCAAAGTGGTGTCGAATGTGAATGGTCTGCGCGAATGATGATCGCGAGGAGCGATGGATGGACTCGAATCGTGACTTGGATGGAAGCATATAGGGGAGCTGTATGATGTACAGTCAGAGTTGTGTGGGCACGTAAACGCCAAGCTTCCCATATGAACGCGTCAATTTGCGACTGGACGCTGCTGCACCCCCGTCTACTAGCTCGTCCATCGTTCACGATATAGCTGCTCCCAAGCTCATCCATCCATCACCACTCACACTCACACAATCTCGCCGTCCCTCTACACCAACGCGTGCAGCAGCGTGAATTGGCGACTTCCTGCACGCCATGCACCACACAGCATCAGCCATGGCTAGGCCATACGGCAGTAGGAGTCGAGAGCAGCGCTCTGCCGCTCACTTCGCTTCCACGCAGGCAGCAGGAGCGCTGCAGCAGTGGGACAGTGTCACATTCAGTCACGAGTTTGAGTACTGCATGAGCCATAGGAGCCTGCCCCTGCAGGTGCAGGTGCTGCAACGGAGGAGCATTCGTGATTTCAGAATTGCATTAATAAATGCACACAGTACTCAGCTGCCCGCGCGCGCCCGATTGCCTGAGCACAGCCGGCATGCAGCCAGCATGTGATGCAGCTGCGCGTGTACTCTGTCTGCACAACCAGCAAGTCCGGCAGCTGAACCCGAAGCAGCACGCATCGCAGCAGCGCGGGACGACGCAGTTTGTATTATGTATGTATGTGCACACTTACAAAGGCACATATCCCAGTCAATCTTTTAAATCTGATTATTGAAAGTCACTCAAGCTCTCACTTTCCACGAATCTCAAGGGCTTCAAGGTGGGAGAACAAGTCCCAAGCAAGAAGAAGCGTTTATGGGCAGCATCGTCGCCTTCGACATACAGAATAGGCACACACAGATCCCACTGGTTCTCTTTCTTCGCTTATTTGACTCGTAGACTCACTCTGCTCATGTCGGTTCGTGATTGCATGTCACATGCTATGTGAAGACGATCAGTCACGGACTTGTATTCGCGGGGATATCAACACGATTCAAGATTCACCCATCCAACCACTGATTCCTCGTCACGACTTTATGCGCATACTTCCGCTGCTGCT